AGAGAGAGAGAGAGAGATTTGTTACAATTCTGCAGGGCTAATATTTAATTCTGGTAGAGAGAGAAAGAGACCCTTTGAGATGGATTTTGTTTGGGTCCGGAAGAAACATCATTCTTTTCCTATAGAGCATGTTACTGTTCAGCAGGGTTAATATTCAAATGTGGCTCCTCTCTTACATTTATGATACTGAAGTTTACTTCTTTTTTTATGGGATTGTATATTAGGAGACCATTGTTGGTCCAATGAGGTCACAATCATTTTAGTCATTATTTGTAAAATCAAATAGATTAAAGTTTGTCACAATATTCGAAAAATTTTATTTTGGACTTTATGACCAGACGATGATACATCCTCAATTAACTGATTTCAAACTTAATGGTTAATAGTGATTGAGACTACTTTGTATGCAAAATAAATGATTTCATTTTATACATTTCCTTTCTTTTTTATACAGTTCATGTAATGCGGCAAGCTGACTTGTTGAAGTAAGGTTGTTTGGTACTCTATAATGTTCTTTTTAGTTTGATGGTATAGATTTTTAATGTCTTTTATACTATCAAAATTTATCATGTCTTTAACAATGTAGGGTATGGCAGTCTTACATCTACAAGTTCCTGTCATATAGAAACCTTTTTCATCTTTTCGATGTTTATGGTAAAGCAATGCATATAATGAGACTATCACTTTTATTAATTTGGGGGAAGTTTAATCTAACATCCATGAAAGATGAATTGTTTTATGTTCTGCCTAATTTAATTTCAAAATATCCATAAAAAAGGCACATGATCATGAGTTAAAAGTATTTGCTAATGGTAAATTATTTAATAGTTCATCTTTTATGGGTATTTCAATCTTTTATGGGTATTTCAATAAATTTTCCTTAATTTAGTGACGTAGTCAGGGGAAAAAAAATGCACTTATCTAGGGGTGGCAATTTGTATATATCTAGGGATAATTAGGCAAATCCAAGGATATGGCTCACACCTTGTACCATCATTGGCACTTACATAGAAAATGAGCAAAGAAACACTCCCACGAGTACATATGCCCACAAACATCTGATGACAAATTTGTAGTTAAACCCTGTACAAGAAAAAAATAATATTTTAAATTTTTATTGCATAAAATTTTGATGAATTTTCTAGTTAAATCCCTCTACAAGATGTATATTTGAAAAAGGATAGCATATTTTCTATGCTCTGCAATAACTCTATTTAAGCTATCGTGGATGTTTCTTGGTTCAGACACCTGATATTTCAATCAGGGGTTTATTTTTTGGGGTGATGAATTTGGACATTGGGTGTCTTCCAATTTAAAAAACTTTTGAGTGTTTGTTCAAAGTGTAATTTAGAGATTGAAAATGATGACAAAAAGGTGGGAACCTTTGTTGTAATGCATAGGTGTGAGGTTTTTACATGTAGTTTTGGCGCTGTAAAGCCTTAAAATGGCATAAAAATCTATTCACTCTTATGCATGAAATTCAAAGCTAAAAAATGATTCAAGTCAAGTAGATATATAAACAATTATCTATTTCTAAAAGGATTGTATATTATGAGGTTATTTATTTTTCGTATGAGGAGGTCACAATTCATACTAACCATTAAATGTCAAATTGGATAGTTTGGATGTCACAAAATTTGAGAATTTTTTTTTTGTATTTAGAGGCTAGTCAATGATACTCACAACCATCCGATTTGAAATTTGATAGACAAAAGTAATTGTGACCTCCTTGTATTAAAAGTAAATGATATATTTGTATGTTTTCCCATTTATAAAATAGACAGTCAAAATAATATGTTATAAGATGAATTATTTTTCATGACTTGAGATCTTTTTTTTCTTTTTTCTTTTTTTTTTAATATCGATCAATCTTAAGGTTGAGATGATCAATTTGAGGGTCTTTCAACATCGGAACAACTTTTTCTAAAGTGCATTTTATTTCAATAGTATAAGGTTGATGCCCTATATAGATATGTGATTTTTTTTAAACATACATCTTACCATGAAATTTATCTATATAAAACGATTTTCCTACATTATAAGAAAGTCGCAATTACTCTGTTGGGTGTCAAATCTGAAAGCTTGAGATGTTTTGCATAGCTCAAGATGTTTTCTTTTTAACTTTGAGCTTGGTCAACGACTGATACCTAACCATTTGAATTTAAATCTAACATTCACGAAGTTTATGACATCTTTGTACCTAAGGTAAATAATTTATTCTACACTTTCAGTACATGTACTAAAGATAAATAGTCTTATTTTGCATTTTTCTTAAGACCCGGTTTATAGTAAGAAAACATTTGGACCATTAGTTTCTATTGTTTTAGATGGAACACCTACTTGTGTTCATCTTTAATATGGTTGCTTTACACTTTCTGGACCGCATATATTGAAATGTAGTATGAGCTCGAATGAAATAATTTTTCTTTTTCTTATTTACGTCTCTTGATCGAAAAATGGAAGAACATAATTCATGTAACTGAACTCAAATACTTGGAATAAGACTTGGATAATGATTCTATATTTTTCTTCCTAAAAATACTAATGTGGTGTACCATATCAACAAGGAGAAAATAGGATCCATATGTTCTTCAAAAAAAAAAAAAGAGGAGAAAGTATGATCAATATGAATGAACTTTATATTTATCGTTCACTTACTTCTTTGGACGGTAGCGATTGCAGAGCTGATCGGATTGATTCCCATGTGCCTTCAAGCTCTCTCCATCACCGTACAAAACAATGATTAATGGTGATAAAGCTTATGCCGGCATTATCACTACATCATTCTATGCACTTCCATCCACAAGAAGGGCAATCTCTCTCTCTCTAAAGGCGTGTTTGTTTGGCAGAAGCTGAACCTTCCGAACTTTTTGGCTCCACGGGGTGGCATGGAAAGAGTGGTTTCAATTTTTTTTTTCCCACCCCTTTCATGCCTCCCATGGAGCCAAAAAATTTGGAAAGTTCGTCTTCCAAATCCAAACCTTCTGCCAAACAAACACGCATATTAACATGGAACATGACTTCTCTATCAAAAGAGTTAATATAATTATACAACAAAAAATCTACTAACTGATGAAATTGTTCTAGTTGCTCTAGCCAAGGCATCAGCCTCAGTATCACATTCTTTGGATCATTTCTTTCTCTCTCATTAAATTTTGCACTACCACATTCACTTAGTCTTAGGTCTCAACTTTTATCAAGACAAAAGTGTTACTACTCCTTTTCTAATTTTGTAGTCCTTTTCTAACTTCTTTTTCACTATTTAGATGTTCAAAAAACTTGAGAGAGAGAGAAAGTGAGAGAGGGAGGGAGAGGGAGAGGGAGGGAGAGGGAGAGGGAGAAGGCCCAATTACCATTCAACTCCCAACTGCATAAATGCCATTCAAATACCCCACTTTTTCATATCAAGAAGAAAGTCTCACTCCTTTTGGACTGGTTTTTTTTTTTTTGCTTAAAAAGAAAGAAAATATAAAAACACCTTTATTTTGAGCAGCACAAGAAAGATTCATGGCATCCAATCAAGAGCCGCCACGTGTCGCTTACAAAGATGAGCACCCATCACAGTCCAGCACATGTCCAATTTTGTTAGGGTTTGGAAAGCCTCGCCATGAGCAATTTCACCGTTTCTTCTGCATTCACAGTAACCGCCACCTTCACCGTCGGTTTGTTGGTCCACTCTGTGATCTCACTGAACCTGAAATTTAGCAGAATTACCCAACAAAATTAATCAAAAAAATTGTTTTGGGTAATTTTTTTATATAAGAAAGAAGAGGAAAATGAAAAACTTTAATGCGGGTTTGTCATACTTCACTCCGCATGCCTTTTCTAGTCAAGTTCCTGAATTTTAAAAGATCTAAAAAGGGTAGTTGAGGAAAGTGAAAGTAAAAGAATTCAAACCTGAATCTCAATATTGTGCTATGTTTTGATTTTTAGTATTTCTTTATTTGTTTCTCTTAAACAACTGTTACCTATAATAAATAATAAAATACCCAGAAATCAAGTTGACAAACATTTGACACACGAGTCCTCTATATCTTGGAAGATTGAAATATTCCAACTACAGATGAAAAAATCAGATCTGAACCACTCCAAGGGCCCATGAGCAAAATACAACAATGAGCGAAGAGAAAGGGAACAATAATTTCAAATACAAGAAACAGAAAACATGAAGGGCAAGATAGTTGTTTGAAATGTAAAGCTATTTTTAGCAGACAAGCGGATAACATTTGGTCAATTGAGAACATCACAGATATAAGCACTTCAGCCAGTTTCTGTAATAACCATTTCAAAAAAATCGATAATAGCTAAATTTTTGTCAGGCCAGCTCCCACAATAACCATTTCAAGAAAATAAAGGATATTTTGGGTATTTCTCAAAAAATTGAGTGGGTCAACAAATTTTGAATGGAAAATTCAGGATGTCATTGAAGAGGTAAGAATTTGAATAAAACTTTGAAACCAAACTAAACTAATCTGCTGAATATCAAACCCACAAAGTCAGGCTAGCCCAAGAGAACCATGCCAATAACCTAAGACAGCCCCTAAAGATTTTTTTCATTTGTGAAAAGAAAGTTCGAAAACAATGGAAAGTGACCTCTTCCTCATGTTGGCAAATATCGTGAGGCCCCTCATGATGCCAGATGTCTGCACTCTTACTACACCCTCAGCATATGTCACCAATGTTGGGTCAATGGCAGCAAGCATAGCAGTAGGATCATGAAGATAAACGCCTGTATCAAACCAAACATATAGCAAAAGGCACATAATGTCTCAAACCGATAGAACAACCACATCATAGAGCAATAAAATTTGAAAAAGAAACCTCTTAAGAAACCCACCATCCATGCCATATGCCTCCTTATGATATGAGAAGTAGAGATTTGCCATATGGCATACATGTTTTGCACACTTCCCCTCAGATCTCGAAAGTTCCTCAAGATCTGCAACTGCAAAATGGAAACAAAATCACAAGACAAACCCACTATTAAGTTGGAGTAAGAAGGTGAGAATGCTATCACTGCTATATTATAGGACGTCGATATGTGATTATGAATCAACTAGTAGCATAGCTGCTAAAATTGGATTTGAAGCGTTAATTAGCAATCAGAAGCAGCCCAAGGCCAGTAAATAGATGGCCTTCTGTCAATATGGATCAATTTGAACCAATTTAGGCCTCATTTGCCCATTTTGAACCCATTCTATCTGATTTTGCTAAAATATTGACCAGTTTTGGACAGAGTTTCGTCAACGTGTACCAATCTAGGCACGTCTTTGTTAAGATAAACAAGGTCCTATATAACTAAAAGAAAAGTGGGGTAGTGATATTGACAACATAAGCTCCATCATATTTCTTGATGTATAACAGGCCACTATTTATTCTTATAGGGTATTACATACCTGTCATAACAACTTGATGAGTAACATTAATCCCAACAGCCAAGATGTCTGCTCCACATGTAAAGACTTCATCAGCAGCTTCTGGGTCACCAAAAATCTTTAAATTGATCCCATAAATTCTACATTAGTTGTGTGTTTCTTTCATAAATGAACAGAATTCATTCCTACGGAAGAAGCATGTGAAGTAAGGTGAAATCAAGATGCCCAGATTTGAATTTGAAACTCTACGTAAGTGCACATAGGCTATCTAAACGCAAAGTGGCATACATTGGCCTCGGCTGCAGGATTGACATTCCCATTGACTGAAAATGCACCACCAAGAATAACGATCTGACCAATCTTCTTTGGAAATTCAGGATCCAATTGGATTGCCTGTACCAGTAGTAAGACTAATTAGAAGCACACAAGGGAAGCAAGTTAAAGCCAAAAATCGAACCTGGGCAATATTAGTAAGTGATTCATGTGATTGATGAGAAGCACAAAGGAGGGATTGGGTCGATTGGAGAGCCAAGGGACTGGCTGAAGTGACATTCATAAGTTGATATTGCAATTTCTTAAAAGCACGGATAGGAGTTGTGTCAGTTTCAAAAACCAAGAGATCAACAAAAGTAGTAAATGGGTAATGCGATTAATCAGAAGATAGAAGTAAAATTGTTTCGATTGGAACACTAAGAGACTAACCAAGGCAATATTAATAGGTGCGTACTGTGATAAATTAGAAGCAGAAGATGGAATTGTGTCAAGTTCAAGAGCTAAGAACCGACCAAGGCAATATTGGTAAGAGGGCCAAGTGCGACAACAGTGACCTCTCCTGGAAATTGATTTGCCTTTTCTACAAGAAAAGATGCGGCAGATTGATCGATTGGCTTCCCTTTAGGTGGAGGATAATTGTGGTTGCCAAGCCCATCAGCACCATGGACGAAATCAGCAATCCGAAGCTTTGTAACTTTCTTTTCCAAACAAATAACAAGAAACTCAGTTAAGCAAACATGGAATTTCAAATCTTTTATTGGCAAAATCACTATTAATAATAAACAAGCAAGAGAAAAAGCTTAAAGTTTTTCATCCATGATGTGAAAGATGCAAGAAATGGGATAGAGTCCACTGTGGGTTTCAGCACTTCTCTTTTTTAAAATGACAATAAATAAAAAATCCTCAACCACTATCTCAAGAAGTCAGATTTTAAATGTGGATTGCAGGGTCAAAAACACCAGTTATCAAGTAGTTGAAGGTTAACAGATAGAAGCAGTGAAAAATACAAGGAAAAAAGTCCCATTTGACCAACCTATAATGGAAATAAAGGAGAGAAAAACTAATCTTTGGCGTTACTGAAAAGCTAACCTTCAATGTTACATGCGATCCTTCTGCCACTGGAATCTCTTGCCTCTCTGCAACCTCCAGCTAAAACAGACAATGACAAACAGTCAAGGAAGATGCAAATGCCTAACCATCTGATGTAACCTTAAATGCTTAATCAAAATGGAAATCTCTACAACAATAAAATAATAATGCATAATGCCATGAAAACAAGTATCATGCATTTGCTCCCATAGTCATCTCCAAGTTCATGGGGAAAAGAGATACCAAATGTAGAGCATTTCTTGTAGCTAAAGTTGTATAAACATTCCCAAATATCGTGGTCAGTCCAATGACATCCACTTCTGGTGATTTAAGTGCCAAAAATATTGCCATGGCATCATCTGCTCATACAATAAAACCAAGTGAGACAAATATAAGCTAAAATGGCCCAAAAGAATAATCTGTTGAACCCTTATTTTTCATAGTAGGTGCTTTTTATCGGAGTAAATATGCCTTTGCAAAGTAAATGTAAGTCTTATCTAAGAAAACATATTTTTCAATGATATTAGATTATGAGCTTCTATACAACCCCTAATATAAGATAAAATATAGCAATTTACCATTTTCATTTGGTAAATCTCTTCTTTTCATGTTCCTCTTATTAGATTTCTCCTAAAAATTTGTCTTTTTTGAAATTTTCTATTTTCTACTAATCCTAGAAATATTGATATCTTATATAATAGAAAAACAGTTCGTGAAATTAGCAATCTATGTCCTTCATTGTTCAATGAGTGGCCTCACTTGAGCTTTAAGCCAAATCCACTCAATTCATTGGTGAGGAAAAAAATCCAATTCACGTATCATCTACCTAAAGGCTACAAATTGAACAGTTCCACGGACTCATCGTATTGTTATTACCATCATAAAAGTACATGCAAAAACTCTTCAAGTAGTTCTCCAAAGGATAACAGAAAAAAAAATATATATATATATCTAAGTAAAAGACAACCCCATAACCATACTTGGCATTTCACTTTGAATTTCAGGATTCCACACTGAAATTACTATAACACTGTGAAGTTTGACATAATAAATGACCAAACTGCATAGTACTATAAATTTCAGGAAACATGAAACACTGAAAAGAAGGGAACCAATGCTGTGAAATTGCTAAATAACACATAAATTCAGAGTCTTTTTTTGTTTGTAGTGTAGGACTTTGCCCAAATATATGTCAATTGAAAAACCTCTTCCTAAAATTCACCTGAAAATGCTACAATTTATCTCAAATTCATGAAAAGAATGAGGACAATGCCTGCATTCTAAATCCCACTTTTCTGATGTATTTAATCATGGATTTCATAAAAAATGCTCTGATTCATTCAGATTTATCTAAGCGTAGATTTCACCAAGAATGATCTGATCCACATATGTCCTCGATCATGTCAATGCAAGATGACCCAACCTACGAATCCAAAAAAAGCTCTGCCCTAGATTGTTTCAGTGCACTGATCCATTTTTATCTTTTTTTGTTCTTGGGATAGAAATAGTATTCCTTAGTTTTTTAACACAAGAATTTAAAGCCCAAATTATTGGCCAGGATTCCTTTGCAAAGAAAAAAAAGAAAACATTTAATGTTTTAATCACAGCACATATCAGCATAAAATGCACAGGTAAACAAATAGACTTTTTATCAATAAATCAAAATTAATCAAAAATAAAAAGCACTTCAACATAAACAAAACATTTGTGCTTCATTTTCTACATTTAATGACATCACATATCACCAATAAATGAACATATGTTTAAGTACAAAGAAAAATGCAAAATTTAATTTAATCTTGATTATGCAGCAACAAAACCCAGATCCATCCATATCGAGGCTTTCTAAGCACATTGAATTGAACTAAATCAAAATAAATTGAAAACAAACTGATTCAAGTAGCCCCAGTTTATAGTCCCCTTACGATAATTAGACAAAACAGTTAAAAACTTAATAATTCATAATTTCAAAGGCCCTCTGATAATAGTGGGCACTCCAGAAAAAGGGAAAAAACTGATTCAATCTACTATAATTTGGAGTTTCATTGTATAAAGCTCAGCACACTGGCAATAAAGCAGGACCTAAAATTCCATATTCTTGGGTTTCACATATTCAAAATCTTCACTATAAATACTTTAATCCATAGTAAAAAAAATGAAAAGAAAAAACTGAGAAAAATCAAGGTTGAATATAACCCTGTTAATTAAATGAAAAGCAGAAAACATTAATCACATAATAATGGTGATAAAATTGATTTAATCAATGTAAAATGAAAAAGAAAACCAAATTTGTGGCCTTTTATTTTATTTTTATTTTTACCTATTCCGGGATCTGTATCAATGATCAATTTCTTCGCACGTCCCATGGCTTTTTTGATGTACCGTCATTGAAACAAAACAGAGCAGTCCTTTTTAAGGGGAATTCTCATCAAAATGACAACATTACCCCTACTTTTCTTGGAGTGCCACTAGAAACCTGTATCATTTTTAAAGGAAAAAGTTTATATAAGTGCCGGGCTCTAAACTATCCAATTAGACCGCATCTAAAAAAGTTCACTGACGTTGTTTTGATGCTCATATATCTTCAAATTGATCATCTCGACTATATAAAAAATAAAAATAAATAAATAAATTAAATTTAAATTTTAAAAATAATACATCTTATAATATATATTTTGATAGTCAATTTTGAAGATTTTTAAGTTTTCATAAATTGCTCGATCTACATTATTTTTAGAGTTTTAAATTTTAAATTATATAATTAAAAGTGAAAATATATTTAAAGACAATTACAAAAGTTTCAACCATTGAAACTATCATTTAACACTATTTAAAAGTGCACCTTACTTTGATTGTTTACGGCCTCAGCTTCATACAATCGTAAATAGAGACTGAAACCTGTCCGAGGGGTAGGTGCGGATGTAACCAAGTAGTTCGAAGATTGTGAATCCACCACGTGCAGGTTTAATCCCCATCGTTCGCCCATCACATCAACCTTTCCTAACCAAAAAGGACCGCACCCTTTTAAATCGATTAGAAAGCCAGTTTCTTGGGATTGTCTACAAGGTGCGGTTTGAATAAAGCGGAGGCTCAAAAAAACAAAAGCAAAACACACATTCAAATGCTACCCAGAAATATAGTTTCATTATCGAAAAATATTTGTGATATTCTTAAAATATATTTTTATATTTAATTATAAAATTTAAAGCTTTGAAATAGTGTAGATCGAGTAGATCTATAAAACTTGATAATCTTAAATTAACGATCCAAAAATACGTTACAATATGCACTATTTCTAAAACTTGAAATTCATGTTTTCTCATGTCCATGCATCTTAATTTCGAGATGATCAACTTGATCATATTTAGGCATCAAAATAACCTCTTCTAGTGAAAGTTTTTAGGTGAGCTCTAATTTGATTGTTTGGAGCCTCGGCTCTATATAAAATTTTTCCTCGTCATAAAGAAACTACTTCTTTCTAACAATCCAATTCAGGTGTGCCTTCAAAATTTATCATAGCATGTAATTTTGGTGTAAACAATGCTTAAGATTATTTGAAAAACAATTTTCACATTTAATTATAAAATTTTAAATTCTAAAAATAGTTAAAATTAATTAGATCTATAAACATATGAAAAATATTGAAGATTAACGGTCTAGATAATATGTTGCAAGATAGATTATTTACGAGACTAAAAATCTTTTTTTTTTTTTCATATTCATACATCTCTTTGTCAAGACAATCATTTAACAGGTTTTTCAACATTATAACAACATTTTACGATGGATTTTCGACGTGAATCTTTGCATTTTAAGGTTGTAACCTTATATAAATTTTTTTTTATTATTTTGTACATAGAAGTCATGAAGAATAATTTTACATTTTAAGGTTGCAACTTTATAAAGACTTTTTTTTTTATGCTTTTGTGTATAGAAGTCATGATCTTTTTTGTTTCTTAAATTTCAAAATGGGTGCCATTTAATATAAATAAAGTTCCTAAAAAAAATTCTCAGACATTTTAAGTCACCCCGAGCCATCCTATTTTGCACTTAATAAGTGGGAATGATTTGTGACATCAAGATAAATGATCTCTTTGTAGACAACCCATTTTTCTTATAATACCGCGATTATTCTCCTAGATATGGGTGAGGTTTGTATAATTTTTGTTGGGAGATATAATTTCAGTGATTAAAAATGTTAAGATGGTTTGAAAAACAATATTCAATCTTAATTATAAAATTTAAAATTTCTTAAAACATTACAGATCGAGCATACTGCAAAGGGTATTTTGGTCATAAAATTATAAATAGTGATGAAAAAGGGGTATCAATGAGATTTTAAAAAAATTAAGATTTTATCTCGTAACCTAAAAATATATTTTTTTATATTTTCCCTATTGTTTTTTTACTTTTCTCGAACTAATTGACCTTATATGATCAGAACACTTCGATCATTTAAAAATCAAATGGCATTTTCAGTAATATTAATAATTTTTTGTTTATTTCTAAAAGAAAAAGTTTATACGAGGATTCAAAAGAATTAAGGTGCACCGTAAAATTCCATCATACAAGGTTATTTTAATGTTAAAAACTCTCTAATTGATCATCTCGGCATTGAGATGTTTGAATATGAATAGAAAAAAAGATTTCGAGTCCCAAAATACTGCATATTGCAATACATTATCTAGACTATCTATTTTTCAATATTTTCATGTGTTTATAGATCTAGTTGATTTGAAACATTTGTTTGATTTAAAATTTTATAATTAATAATGAAAATAAATTTTTGTATCATCGTAAGAATTGTTAATACCAACATTACATTTATGATAAAATTTTGTGGTGTGCCTTAATTGGATTGTTTAAGGTAGCAACTTTATGCATACCACACGAAGTTTCTATAAGGGCTAGGTTTTATGACAACAAAATAAATTTCATCTCAAATCCTCATCCAGAAGCATTTTTAACAAAGAAAATCTCCATGATAGCTCTAAAATTAATTTTCAACACCGACAATAAATTTTGAAACTCAAAAAAATCTCGTGGACACCTATTGTTTGCGGCGAAATGGACGGTCTTAATAATTTGTTACAATATATATTATTTTTGGAGCTTAAAATCTTTTTTTTTTTTAACAACTACAATGTTCAAGCTGTGACGATCAATGTAAAAGGTTTTCCGATGCTTGAATTGTAATTTTTGATTAGTTATGAGGTGACGCTTTCTTATTTTGATACAGCTGCCGCTCTATCAAACTATTTTCCTAAATTTCATGGTTCAGATCTAAGTTGCACGGTTCAGATCTAAGTGAAAGCGAAGAGGGCTTCAAGTCCGAGCATTCGGGGGAGTGAATCTCAGCCGTCCATTTCTTACACTTCAAGTTGAGCCTGAGCTCAACGGGTATAAAAAGCACCCCCTTATCCCAGTTCAAAATTTTGAATGTTTTATACTTTCTCTCTCTTCTTTTGATCTGTGTTCACACAGATTTGAATGTTTTCTACTCTCTCTTATTTTGATCCACGAACACACATAGATTTGAATGTCTTCTACTTTCCCTTTGACTGTAAACCGTGTATATCTTTGCGTCCTTTTTTCATGGTGGGTATCTGGATCTTAGAGAGAGAAAGTGGTTCCGCCATTAACCAATTACCCAAGATATGCAGAAGCTCTACACTGTTTTCTCTCTCTTGGGATTGAATGTGGTATCTTGACCCTCTTCATCCTTTTTTTGCCTGGTTATGACATTTGGATTCTAGAGAGAGAAAGTGGTTTTGAACGCCAGAGAGAGAAGGTGTTTTCAGCTATGGAGAAACGGGCAAAGTTCAGCAGATGCTCCCCAAAAGTGCCACCGACCGCCAAGAAGAAACCCAACCAGAGGAAGCCATTAGAGGACCTCAACAACCCCACTCTCTCTCTAGACGCCCCCAAAGGTTGCTTAAGCTTTTTTCTTCCAAACTCCTCCAAAACTACCCTTCCAAGATCAAAATCACTCCCCAGAAACCCTAATTCACTATCCCCACACTGTAGAGCATCATCCCAGAAAAATGGTCCAAACACAGTTCACAAATCCAAGACCGTTTTGAATCAGTCCCATGAAAATGGTCCAATACGAAAAGTTCAGGACACTGCTAATGCCCTAAAGTCCCATGAAAATGGAAAACTTCTCTCCAAGAATTTCCCAAACCTCCCCTACAGATATGGCTCACAGTCTAGTTCTCAGAACCCATCTAGTGATTCCAAGCACCATGAAAATGGTGAAATTTCAGCTCCTGAAACTAACTCTAGAGATATACACCCAATTTCTGAGGACCCAAACCCACCCAACAAAAATGGCACAAAATCCGATCTAAAAGACCCAAATACTATAACTTCAAATTCCAGTGTCCCAGACCAGTTCCATGAAAATTGTGAACTACCCATTTCGCAAAGGCCAATTGGAGCTGACGAAAGCTGCCATGAAGGTCACTGTATCGCACCAATCGTGCAATTTGAGGGCCTAAAGATGCAATCTTTGATAACCACACCAGCTACCAAGGCCACAGGTAAGCCTCTTGACTCTGGTTCCAGGGCAGTTTCAGTTGATACACCTGGTTCCATGAAAAGAATGTCATCTACTCCTGCTAAGACCTCAGAAAAATCAACACCACCTGTAATGGCTTCTATATCCCCTGAGATACATAGTGGGTCACTGGTTATTGGTACACCTGCCATTTTTGGGGCAGGGCATGTAGTTGCTAGGGTTAGTGACAGAAGGAAGTGTAAGCCAAGGGGCATCCTCACTGTTGGGAAAGGGGATGAAACCTTAGGGTTTTCAGAAGGTTGTGAAATAAGGGTTTCTTCTCTTCTTGACCCTGAAGAAGCCTCTATGAAATGGCTACAGTCCCCTAAAGAAGTGAAATGTGATCAGAGTACTAGCCCTAAAAATGTGACCTACTCTGGATTTGCAGGTGTCCTTTCCAATTATAGGTGTGACCCATTTCATGATATTCCTTTTTCAACTGGTTTAAATGCCAAGGATTGGAGTTTTAAACTAGATTCAAGTTCTCAAGTAACTGATCAAATTGGTGATCCTAAAAGCAGATGTTCCAATACCGAAGGGGCACATCAAAATTCTAGGGGTGACCCATATCTTGGTCCTCCTTGTCCATCTGATATAAAGGCTAGAGGCAAGAGTTTTGGGCTAGATCCAGGTTTTCAAGTGATTGATCAGTTTGGTGACTCTAAAACTAGTACGACTAATTCTAAAGGGGTGACCCACAAGAGGGAACCTTCTTCTAAGTGTGATGTGCCCCTAGTTTCTGATTACATGGCAAAATACCAGATTTTTTATTTGGATTCAAGTCATCAGCTTGGAAAATCTTCAAAGAAGGGCCCCAGTTTTGGAGGAATACCCCATAATAGAAGCTCATCTCCATTGAGCGACCTAAAGCTGGATCCTTGTTCATCTAGTTCTGGTGCCAAAAATAATAACTTTGGAGTGATTTCAGACCGTGTAGATGTTCACGAATTCAGTGGTTTTAAAGGTAGGACCTCTAATTCTGAGTGGGTGCCCTATATTAGAGGACTATCCCCTGTTAGTGATTTGCAAATGACCCCAAGTTCAAATTTATCAGAAGGTAGTCCACATGGACTCCGTCCATCTGGTTCACCATGGGTTGTGTCTCAAGAGCGAGGAGCCTCTTCTTTTAAGGTGAGAAATTCAGATCTGTGCTCATGTAGCCCTGTGAGAAGACGATCTGTGTCAGGGGTTCCCTCTCAAGAGAAGACATCCTCTGGTTTTAGTGAGAGACGGTTAAGTAATTGCACTGATAGAGCTACTCGTGGAGACTTAAAATTCATTGAATCTGATTATGTACAAGATGGTTCCACTCATCGATATAAACTTTCACCAGAGAACTCCCCATTTTCTTGTGAATCATCGGGAAATAGAAACCTTATTAGAACGCCTTCTCCTGATAATTCATCTGATTTTCTCCCTTTGCCTGGTTTGAGCTTTGCATTTTCATGTCCATTAACGCCTCATAACTCAACTGATCAATTACGACATCAGAACTCTTTGAAAGCCCCTTGTAGGCATGAATTCAATGAAGCATATTGCGAAGAGGGAGAATTCTCGAGCCCCACATATGAAAGCCTCTCACAGATGAGGATCTCATGGAGAGAAGGGCTGGTTAGCCGGATTTTCGAGCAGGATGAGTTGGATGAATGGGATTGGATGCTTGAAGAGGGGAAAGAGAGTGATTCTTGTGAAGAAAGTTCATTTGAGTGCAAATTAGGATCTGATCAGAAGATCCTGGCCCCACAGTTGGTTGATTCTTTTGAATTCATACATGAAAAGAGAGATGACGTGACAGAATGTGAATTCGGTAAATTTATACGGCCAGTTCCTTGCGCTGAATCTATCAGTACCGAGGGAGTCGTGGCATCGAGTGATTCAGACTGGAATTTGTGCTACAAGAACCAGTTGTTTGAATGAGTGTGGTGCGTTTCTCTCTCAGTGTCGTGTTGATCATGTTGTATGTAAAGTTAAAAAAAAAAAAAAATTGTTAATCATGTTGTATGCTATTCAGTTGCTGAAAAGTTGAGGAGAAACACCTCTCTCTCAATCTCTGGATACTTTTCTCTTTTTCTATGTTAATTTTCTAAATAAATAACTTCGTAATCAATCATAAGTGCACAAGAGAATTTACAAGTTGAAAAATGCTAGTTATAGAGGTTATGAATCTACATGAACTAAAAATTTGCATTTACAATTTCTTATTTTTCTTTTAATACTTCCCCCAAATTTCCTGCAAGGGGTTGTATATTTTGTTTGTTTTAAGTTTTCCTTTCATTTCCTATGGATAAGTTAAGGTTCTGCATTTCTGCTCCAGGTTAGTCATAATCAAAATAACCTGAACCCATGGATTTGAGAAAATATCAATTAAAATGGTAAGACCACATTGAACAACATTGAGGTGGTCAAATCAAAATAATTTCATAGTGAAGTTGATTATTTCAAGGGAAAATATTTCATACCAGTAAAAGTATGGAACAAGATACTCGGACTCAACATCCGTCGTCTATGTTTCAGAACATGGCACTCAGATGCAACATTCACCATCCTAGCTAGTGCCCACTTTTATATCCACCGGTTTTTTTACGCGGAACAATTGCTCAACTCCACCACCACTAGAAGCATAGACATTATTTAAAATTACTTCAATATCATACTCAGACATGGTGCCTGATCCTTACTTTCAAAAGACCATTTTACACAGTTACCTACCTCTTCAACGACTTCATTTTAAAATACCCTGAATTGCATATGTCCTGAATTTGGAATCCTGATTGAATATGAATATGAATATTTTGATTATTTCTCCCCCCCCCCCCGCCCCCCCGACCCCCCCCCCCCCCCCCCCGTAAGCATCTCGACCAAATAATATACATACGGCTTCTTGCTTTTGGGTTCCAAACCAGGAGCATGACAATAAATAATCGTAGGTTGGAGCCCATAACAAGTAGGTGTCTGGTTGGAGTGGGTATACTATGCTCCCATAGGAGCATATACTGTGGATCTACCCCTCTATCAAAAGACCTAATTGAGAGTATTTTTCTGGTCTAAAATATTGGGAACCACCTAAGAATCACAAGATGTTTATTTAAGAATAATAAATTTGAACTTTGAGCTATTTGACCCTTAGATTTTGTTATTTGACACTTAGATTTTGTCCATGAAAAAATGGACAGTCTTTGTTCAATCTTAAGACATTATTTTTCTCTAACAATAGGTAGTTCATTTAGGAAATTTTTTTATTGAGGTATGGGTTAAACGGACTACATCCCCAAAAATTGAGGTCCTCAAATCACTCTTATGTTAGGTTTTTCTGGATTGAGTAAATAGACAGTATACTCCCTAGGGAGTATAAAATTCTGGATTTAATTTAAAAATACTCATCAAAATATACCTTATTATGGCTTGGTGTACTTGCTATTGGGTAGAATGTTAAATAATTAATTAATGAGTAAGGCGCACCTAAAAATTTGCTTGGAGATGTAATTTTAGTGCCAAAACCTTATGTTGGCTTTAAAATATTTTGTATTCCTAATTTTGAAATTTAAAACTTAATAAATGCTATGGATCAAATATATCAATAAACATTTGAAAATCTTGAAAATAGACGATACGTGTAATTTGTTACAAGACACTATTTTTAAGATTTCAAATTCTTTTTTTTCCCCTTCATATCCACATATCTCGATAACGAGATGATCGATTGGAGGGTTCTCCAATAGAAAATGTATACAATACAGCTTTTTACTTTTGATACAAGAATGTTTACTTTTTGTTTTTTTAATTAAAGATAAAAATATAGTTTAAGATTATTACAAAGATTTCCGGTATTAAAAACACATTTCTCGCATTATTTGCAGGTATGGTTTACTTCGATTGTTTAGAGTTTCGGCCCTATACAAACCGCACCCTTCTCAAAATCTTTAACTTTTTATTTTAAAATTTGAAAAATTTATCATAGGAAAAATGTTATATAAGGTTGCAACTCTATGCTAACCAAGTAGAAGTAGGATGTACCTCAAACATCCACTTAAAGAGACTAGGGATTGCTTATCCTCGGGTTATTTATTTTTTGGGAAAATTTCATGAAGAATTTTAATTTTTTGTATTATTTCATGGTAGATCTCTTTCTGTTTGTTTTTAAACGGCGAAAAAAAACCTCTAAAGATTTCACCATGCCCCTCATATCTTATCTCCTTCTTTTATTGATTTTGATTATAAAAATTAGCCTCAATAAAAAATTTTATACCATTTTCAACCCAATTTTTGAATTCGGGTGGTTGAAGATGTGTCATTGTTTAGGCATAATGTCTGCAATAAAAACTTTTGAATGTTGTGATACATTTTCATCTATTAGATTCTACATTTAATAGTTAAAACAAATTATGACCTCTTTATAACAAAAAAAAAAAAAAATCATATAAAATCCTAATTTTTCTTATTATTTTATGGTAAATCATTTTTCTGTTTTTCTTCAAGCTACATAAAAAATCCCTATAGATTTCACCCACCTCCTCATCTCTTATCTCTCGTTAGTTCCGACAAATCTTTTTATACTATTTTATCTCAAACTTTTTTTTTAATCTTTTTTCTTTTTTTTCACCTTTTAAAAAGTTTTTTAAGACTTAAAAAATAATGTGGATTGAAAAAACTTATAAAAACTTAAAAAATTGATGGTCAATATAAACTTGAAAAGCCTCCATCTCTATATAAACTTTTTCTTTGGGAATTTAAAAATTAAGTTCTTCAGGTGACATGGCATCTATTGACACGTGTCAATTAACATGTGGCCTCGCATTCGTGGGTGACGTGGCCATTTATTAAAAAACCCGTATCATTTATTTTTAGTTTTTTTACAAATCCATATTTATTCTCTCTCTGCACCAAATTTGCTCTCTCTAAATTGCCTAATCTCTCTAAATTTCCTTTTCGCCTGTCGCTGTACCAAATTTACTCTCTAAACGCCTTTCGCCTCTCTCTCTCTCTCTCTCTCTTCTCTCTCTATATTGTTTTGGTCTCTCCTACTCTCTCTATTATCTCACTTCTGTATCGCTCGTTGTCCTCTCTCTCTCTCTCTCTCTCTCTGCAACATTTATTTACCTCCCCACTTCTAATCTCTCTATTCCCATAATTGTTGTCACTTTCTCTCTAGCCTTTTTATCCCCCGCTCGTTTTCTCTCTCCTGCCAAAATTGCCTTCTCTCTCTTGTGACGCCTAAAGTCAAAGATGTTAGGTTTAAACCCTAATTCCCGATTCAACTGGTAAGCACCCAGCTCTTCCTTTTGTCAAAAATTGGTTTTTTTTTTGTCCGTCCTTTTGTATGTGAATGTTTTTTTGATATTGCATGATATTAGTCGAGCTACATACTTGACATTTCCATGTAATTTTCTTGGGTTTTTAGGAATTTATGGTTTTTCAATTGAATTGGGTCTCAATGCATATCGGTTGCTTCATTTTTAGGCCAATTGGGGTCGCCTGCGTAGTCAATTTGGTTTTATCTATCTCGCTGATTTTTTATTTTTAGGATTTTTATTTTTTTTTGTTTGAATTTTGAAATGAAGTTTAGTGTGATCAGCTCATTGAAAGGAAGAATCTTCCATGGTTGATTTGGCTCTTATTCTCTGGAGTGAATCTAGGGTTTGAATTTTCTGTCGTTTTCAATTGTGTGGAAATCCTAATATTTGTAGGCTCTGATTGCATCATTAACTTATGTAACATGGATATTATGTGCCTATGGTGTATTGCATGTGTGGATATACATAGGACACGAAATTGGTATTTGATGCTTAAGAATTTTATTTTTTTAGCATTTCTTATCAATATCTCACTATAAAAATGCTTAATATCACCTAAAATCCTACCTCCGTCCTTATCTAAATAGTGTATGCAGTGTCTGAAAAAGCCAATTTTGAGAAAGGCATTTCTAACACTTGTATTGTGTCAGTCCCTTGCACGTATCCGTGTCTGTGTAGCATATCCTCAATTGTCCAAGAATTTGAAAATGGTTTCTTTATTTTTGTCATTCCACATTATTAAAATTTTCTTATTTTGTACCATTTACTCATAAAGATACTGAATTGATCAAAACCTGGAGACTCTGACCCATAACTTCTTATCATTCTTGATCAAGTTTCACTTAAAGCTATTTTCAATTGAATCATTTGTTCATTGCATATTATTAACAACAATAAAAAAGGTTTATATTGCATATTACTCAGGTATTGTCATGATCGAGAATTGGTCTGCTATAATATATGATTAGGTTAATGTGTTACCTCATTTTTTGAGGATTGTATTCTTTTGGAAAGTTGGGCTAGTGTATAATGTATACTCAGCTTCTGCTAGTTGAATCCTTTCACACTTGAGTCTAGCTCGCTACTTTCACTTACATGGTTGTTAGTTAGGGTACTGTCGAAATGACCATGAAATAACTTTTGTTTAACAAACTATTTGGGTTTTTTGTCCATGCTGCTGTTGTTCTAAATACTACGGTACAAACACTCACTTATTGCTGGCATTTAGATTTTTTGAGATATTTCTTTAAGAAGGTTCTGGCCTGTCATAGAATGTGTTCCCATGGTCAATAATTGTCATTTGGCCTCTAGTCATTAAGTTTAAGACTTTGTCGTTACAGATTCAGGTTCAACACTCAAATATCTTGATGCTCTACTAGACCTATTTTGTGACATCATGATGAGGTTGAGCACATACGCGGGCGCTAGTTTCGTTGGTGCAATGGCCATTATTTACCATGCCTTTAATAGTAGAGGCCAGTTTTACCCAGCCATGGTGTATCTATCGACCTCAAAGATCAGTTTGGTGCTTCTTCTCAATATGGGTTTGGTTATAATGTGCATTCTATGGCAATGTATCAAGAGATTGTTTCTTGGGTCCCTCAGAGAAGCTGAAGTGGAAAGGTTGAATGAGCAGTCATGGCGAGAAATCATGGAAATCCTATTTGCAATAACCATATTCAGAGAAGAGTTTTCGGTTGCTTTTCTTTCAATGGTCACTGCACTATTGCTAATCAAGGCATTCCATTGGTTGGCTCAAAAACGGGTTGAATACATTGAGACGACTCCAACGGTTACCGTGTTATCTCATATTCGAATTGTTTCATTCCTTGGGTTTCTACTGCTATTAGATTGCATATTTTTGTACAGTTCAGTATCATATTTATTGAGGACCAGGCGGGCATCAGTTGCACTCTTCTTTTCATTTGAGTAAGTTTCTCTATTTTCTATAATTCATATGCCTGTTGATTCTTTTTTGGGGAATTTTGCTTGGATGCAACCTTTAGTACCGACCACAGGTGTTTAACTTCCCTTTTCTATTTTTGATGATATTTTCTACGATTGGGCTAAATCTCACAAGAAATATTTCTAACACTATTAAATATTTGTTGATTGTATGATTATCTCCTGTTGGTTAGCATCTTGTACCCATTCATGAAAACTGAATATGAGGAAATAACTGATGAAAAAAATCATCTATCCAGAATTTTTTATTGGCATCCGCTGATTCTTTTGTTTTCTTTTGTTTGTGTTATCTACTATTTCACCACTGATAGTATCTTTTTCATACAAGGAAGATTATGAATTCTGGAAATTGATAGGAAACTCAAGAGTCCCAACCAAAACAACAGATATGCAACTCAGGAGTAATCTTAGAAGGGTGATGGGGTTAAGTAATAAATGGATTAAACTAAGATGCTGATATATCTTTGAGATACTGGCAGTTACCTCAATATGTTAATCCCTTTGAAGTTCCTCATTGATTTTAATTGTAAAAAAGGCCAATTGTTAATAGTTTACCTCTGCATATATGAGATAATTGTTAAAAATCCTTATACTTGGTATTTTGTATCCACAGATACATGATTCTGGCAACCACTACAGTGTCAACTTTTTTGAAGTATGTTTTCTATGTCAGTGATATGCTGATGGAAGGGCAATGGGAAAGAAAGGCTGTCTACACATTTTACTTAGAACTTATCCGCGACTTGCTTCACTTGTCCATGTACCTCTTCTTCTTCCTAGCAATTTTCATGTAAGTATAATATTGATCATTTAAGTTTTAGGTTCTTTCTTTGAGTTTTATGACTTTCCCAATTGTAAGTCAAAGTACATATAATTTGCTTTTGGTTCACTGTGACATGTTGTTCATGATTAAAATGGGCCTATCTTTTATGTTAGAAAGCCCCCTTTGCCGCTTCTTAATTGAATGGGATGACACTGCTATGTTACAACCTCTAGTGGTTCAGTTAAGTGAAGCTATATTCATGCCGAATCAACTGGTTTGAATATAAGTCAACCTTTACATTGTTAAAAAGTTATATAATTCTGCAGTATCTGAAACGTTAGATGACAGTTCATACCCACCTTATAGAATGGATTTATGGTGATTTATGAAGCATTTCACAAATATGATATGAAATACATATTGATGGGATGACAAGTTATGTTATAATACCTGGAACCATTTTCTTTGCTGTAGATGTGCATCTGGTTGAATGAAAGTACTATTTGGTATTGCCAATAATTTAATTGAATTCAAAGTGTCTAATATGACATGAAATAGGAGCTTATGGTTTTTGTTCTTCATTGGACATGGTATTAAAATTTGTTCTGTGCTCTGGACACTATTAGAAAGATAAACTACAACTTCTGGATAATAAAATATAAAAAAGTTTGAATCAGGACCAGAATAATGGATCTGAATTTACTTCTATTGAGGAGCTTCATTATTTAGAGAAAAAGGGAAAGAGATGAAGAACTCATATCTGTCTTACATGATAATAAAATAAATCTTTCCAATATAAATACTGCCTTGATGTGAGGTGCCACTGTGTTAGAGCTTTGTGCTTGATATTTGCATTGTTGTTCATTTTACGCTTTGGAATTGAATCACAACAAGGTTTGCAATTCTTAACCATGTTGCATTTGTTCTTCAGAAACTATGGCTTGCCACTGCATTTGATCCGGGAACTCTATGAAACATTTCGTAACTTCAAGGCACGTGTTGCTGATTATATTCGCTATCGCAAGATCACATCTAATATGAACGATCGATTCCCTGATGCAACGCCTGAAGAACTTAATGCGTGAGTTTTATATGTATTATAGTTTAGTAAGATATTAATTATTGCTTTTTGCTTGTTTATTATCTTGTATCCATGATCTCCTAAGACAACATTCGGATGCAGAAGTGATGCCACATGCATAATTTGTCGTGAAGAGATGGTCACTGCCAAGAAGTTGATTTGTGGACATCTTTTTCATGTGCACTGTTTGAGATCATGGCTCGAAAGGCAGCAAACTTGCCCTACCTGTCGATCATATGTTCTTCCTCCTGAGAATGGAACATCTTCATCTGGAGGGCATCAAGTTGCACAGCCTCATCGACATCAACATGGTGGTGCAGGAGGTATGGTTCTACCCCTTCAAGGATTCATCTTCTCCCCTCATAATTCATGTGCATATTGATTTTCTTATGGTAGGTTTTGCATATGGCCCATGGATCAATAAGTAATTTATGTGCATTACTTATAACGGATAATTCTTAGCTCATTGGGTCAAAATTAGTTATATACCGTCCTTTTACTTCCTCTTTAGTCTGTTTTGGTCTGGATTCAGGTGTTTTGTTGGCTGTTATTCATATTCATATGAATATATTTGTATTTATTTTGATCTCTTTCCTATTCGTGAATCATTTATGTTAGCGTGCGGTTTGTATAAAGCCGAGGCTCTAAACAATCAAAGTAAAGCACACCTTGAAATAGTGTCGAGAAATGTGGTTTCAATACTGGAAATCTTTGTGATAGCCTTAAAATATATTTTCATCTCTAGTCATAAAATTTAAAGCTTCAAAAATAGTGTAGATCAAACAGATTTATGAAAACTTGAAAATCTTGAAAATTGATGGTCCAAAAATGCATTACAAGATGCACTATTTCCAAAACTGGAAATCCATGTTTTTCTCATGTCCATGCATCTTGCGGTCGAGATGATCAATTTGAGGATATTTGGTTATCAGAACAATCTCTTCTAGTGAAATTTTTGAGTTGCGCCCTAATTTGATTGTTTAGAGAATTGCACTTATATAAAATTTTTCCTGTATGTTATATTTTATCTTATTATTAATTTGTTCTTGCCAAATGAGGTGCAATATTATTCTTGTCTTATCCTCCTTTTGAATGACATTGTTTGGAGAAAAATTTTATATTTGAAAAGGTTTGATTTGAGATTTGTATTTTATTGTGAGCAGGGTCTGGTACAGCTGAAGCATCTGCTCAGAACACTGGTGGTGGCGTCGCAGAGGATAATGTGAGCTTGCATCAGGCTAGGCTCCGAGCCGCTGCTGCAGCTGCTAATGTCTATGGGGGATCATATGTTTATCCTTCAGCAAATGCATTTGTATGGTATGCTTGAACATTATAAGAGGGCTTACTTTTTCATTTAGCAGCAAATTATCGTTATGTTATTCAATCTTTGATTTCCCTATCCTTTCAAAACTTGGGTGCCCGATTTTTAAACCAAGGGGCCAAGAGCACTCTTGGCTTCTGATGTGCATTTAGGGGTTTTTTTTTTCTTTTTTGCTTTATTTTGGCTATTTTGGAACAATTATAGTCTTTCAGGATTTTTTTAATCATTTGCAGCAAAATGTGCTGGTTTATTCAAGATTGACATATATTTGTGATTTTGTAATCGTTAAATTCTTTTTGTTGGATAAGGTCAGCCACGGTAAATATTGAAATTCTAAAGCTATTTCTTTTGGATAATAGTGTTTGCTATTAACACTTCATGACTAATTATGATCTATAATGGTGATTATCTTTGCTTAAAGGCAAGTAAATTAAATTCCATTTGGGCTATAGTACTCATTGTTATTGTGGTCATCACAGATGTTGATAGTGAGAATGGGACCAACAGAACAGCACATTCCTATTGGACTATGGTTTTCCATGGTTAATTGGATTATAGTGTACCTTATTTGAGAAGCATGGCAGTGATAGCTTTGAGGATTTAATGCTTCTTTTAGAATCTAAGCTGTCCAACCATAAACTAATATTTTTTTATGGGATGGGAAATTATTTCATGCACCAGTGGTGTAATGTTTATGGTACACCACAGGAACATCCACTGTTCGTTTCTGATGACATACTGCAGAGATTTACCAGATCAGTATGAATCGCCATCATCAGGAACCATGGCTTATCACCACCATCTCTCCTTGGGAATGGATGGTGGATGTCCCCGTGATGTACTATCATATGCCATGGGCGTATGGTATACTTCCCTTGGAAGCAATTACTGGCTAGGCTTTATCTTCTCTACCCATCACTGGGAATGGCGGGTGGCTCTTTCCCTGCTGTACCATCATACACCATGGGTGGGTTGTACTTCCAGTTGATATTGTATATATGGGTTGGTCGTTCTACATTTCTACTCCTGATTCTTATCTCTTTAACTGCCACAGGTCACCAGGTTATGCTTTGGTACCAAAGGTGTTCTTGCAAGGAGCCATGGGTAGAGAGTCAACCAGTGAAGAGGCCACGGATTCCTCAGGAGAAAATGCTCAAACCACTCCATCAGCACACCTTAGTGGAAACTCAAACTTTACTTTCCCTCAAGGGCCACAATATACTTTTCTCCCACTTAAAATGCCCCTTACCAATGGTGCAAGTGATGAAGGATCCAGTAGAGATCCAACCATGCCAAGTTCTTCTTCATGTTTGCTTGCTCAATTTGAGGCCCAAGAGAAGTTTCTGAGATATAATATTGAGGTAAGGAGCTGGCAAAGTTAAATGTGCTAAATTGCAAGAATGCAATATTTTGTAGTTGTCTATGTTGATCTGTTGATGGTGTTCAAACTGATTGATCCATGCCTGACTATTACAATATGGAAACCAGGGAATAGTATGATACCTTTTTTAGATACTTTGATCAGCATTTTAAACCATGGACTTGGGTCAGGACTTGCTAGTGTCCAAACTCTGAAGCCCTAGTCAGTCAACTAAACTTGGGAGTCTGAGTGAGACTCCTCTGGGTCTTAGAAAAATTAACGAAAAAAACCTTGGGAACCGGTAAGTCGGCTGGTTTCCGAGTTCATTCCTTTGGACTCAGCGATTTTTAAAACTGCTTTTGATACCTGGCATTGAAAGTTCAGATACCATCTCCTTCCAATTTTTAAAGTGAGCCCTCATGTTGTCAAGGAGTTGCAGAATTTTGATATGTTAATTGATTTAATGGTAAGAAATGCTATGGCCCAGTGATTATAGTTGAAGCATGGTTCTTTGAACCCTTGCCCTTTTCCATTTAAGAAAGCAAACCACAGTAACCGACCACTCGGACTTACTTTAAAAGTGCATGAGTTAGTTAATTCTCCCTCGACCTTTTTTTTTTTTGGTCCACAGAGAATTGTATTTCTTTCTCTCTCTTCTCTTTTGTTTATAGAAATGGGGTTTTTTATCAGTTGTTTCTCTCCCATAAACCTTAAGTTTTTCTCTTGTACTCAGGTGTTACAAAATCAGTTGAAGACTTTACAAAACCAGAAGCCCATTGATTCAAAGGCTGCAAAAGAAGAAGCATCTTCTGGTGTAACAGAAAGCAAGGGTAAAGGCCCTGCCCATTGTGCTTCTCCTCGGGCTTCCTCATCAGATTGCAGGCACCATCCTGAGATTCAAGAAGCTCAAACGGATTGAGATATTAGAGATCTGAGACTGAACTGCTAGAAATGAGGCTTTGGAGCTGGTTCTTTCTTTGCCAATCTTAGGCAGAGAGAATATTTTGGTCTACCCTCTAGAGAGTGAGCAGCTGAAGTATATTAATCAGTCTTCTGCCTTTGTTTTAGTTGTGGAATACTCTCTCTCTGTCTCTCTCTCTCTCTCTATAACAGAATGCATCAAACTTCAACAGACATTTGAATTTGGGCAGTGCCCAAATGTAAAATAAACATCTTTTGGGTGGTGGGGGTGAGGTTTATTTTCTCTCTAACAAAGAATTAAATGGAAATGTTATCTGCTGTTATGCTCATAATGTAAAAACTGAATGGTTTGTTTTGCTTCTTTTTGTAGGAAAGTGAGCTCATGATTATATTTGTGAATTTATGGAGAGAGAATTTTCCTGTGAAAATTGTGGAAATATATTAAGCTTTTCTCTGAAGAAAAAAATATACAGTAAGACTGTCCCATAAGAATGTCACAATCATCCCTGATCGATAGATGATAAATTCGATGGTCGTGCAAATAGATGGCTTTATATCTTGCTGTCTAATTTCACATCTAATGGCTTGGCGTGTTCGTGACATCGGTGTGTAGGCTTAAGGATATAAACAATCAGATTGAGGTGCACCTTCAAATCGAACCAAAATATATTGTTTTAGTATCAGAAGATTTTATAAAGGTTTGAAAATTTATTTTCATATCTAGTTGGATGAAATTAAAGATTAAAAAATAGTGTCGATCGGGCGTGTCTATGTATACATGAAAATCTTAAAAATTGACGGTCTAGATAATACATCACGAGATGCATTGTTTCACATATTTAAAATTTACTTTTTCTTATATCCATACCTATTGAGGTCGAGATGAATGAATTGAGAGTTTTTCAGCATCGAAACAACCCCTCTAGTGAATTTTTTTGGTGCGCTTTAATTTGACTGTTTAGGGTTTTACCCTTGTATATAATTTTTTCAAATATAAAATAGTTTTATAGAAACTAGTCTTAGTAACGAGACAATATACTAAAAGGCTGTATATTTTCAGCACAAGGTGGTCATACTGATACAAATAAAAATTTATTTTTTATTTTTAGTTAGGGATAGGAAGAGAAGTTAAGAGGGTCTAGTTGGGTGCGTGATTTATCTTTTGCATGTCTATTTTTTTAGTTTAGGCAATAACGTATAAATAAGATAAAAATATTTTGGTTTAGGAAATAATTAGTGGCAGTTATTTTTTACTCCATTATGTGGAAGTTAGAAAGAGAAAATAAGGAGGTACGTGAGAGAGAGAAAATAGGGAGATGAAGAGAGAGAAAATAAGGAAAATAAATAGAGAGAAGATAGGAAAAAAATTAGAGAAAAAATAAGGAGATGAAGAGAGAGAAAATAGGGAAAAGAGATTGAGAGAGATAGGGTAGTATGGACTTTTTTTAGAGAGAAAATTTATTTTATTTAAGATTCTTTTTATTTGAAGTGTATTTAAAGGGAAGAAGTCTTCATTGTAAATAGATCAGAGAATGATAAGAGAATGAAAATTAAATAAAATTGATCTTATGAAAAGATATTTTGAAAAGTTGATCTTGTGAAAAGGTCTGAATTGAGTAAAGTTGATATTGTGAAAAAATCGTTTTTCGGATAGATTCCCTTGCAGACATTGTTTTTTAGTAAATTTCTATGCGTTGAGAGATAGTATATTCTCTTAACGGTTTTTTTTATTTTATTTTTATCATTCCAGTTTTATTTTCTCCTTGCATCACATACTCACCTGAATTTTAAGGGGAGAAGAATGTTGTGTACTAGGAGATCATTGGTTAGTACAAGGAGATAGAGAGTAAAAGTTTGTTAACATTCCAATATTTATGAAAACATGGGAAGAAATAAATAAGACAATATACGAGATGGCCTCCTTCTAGCACGGCAATCAAATTGTGTAAATGGTTGCACTATTGAATTTCAACCAATAAAGTCCCGGTATTTTAGGAAGCCACAATACCCTTAAGATATATTTATCAAGATTGGACAGGACCGCCATTTAGTTTTTTACTATTTCAGTCTAAAACAATATTGAGTTTGATTGAAAATTGGTCAAAACAAATATTTATTTTGAACAAAATTACAAATATCAAGTTCAGTTCTGACACGAGAGAAAGTATAAAATGAACCTATTTTATCTTTCTTACATAAAGCTCATGATCACTACTACCTATCAAATGTATAATTAGATGGCTAGGGTTTTTATCCAAAAAAAGGGTATTTTTCTGTGGATTTTTACCACACCTTGGCCATTTTATGATGCCCCAAACATCCAAAGTTTTATTTGACGGTTTGAGGTGATTATGACCTTTAGGTATGGAATAACAATTCTATTGTATACAGTTCCAATTTGTTAAATCCAATGATTGGAAACAATAAATTGGTGTTTCAAATAATCTACTTAAAAAAAAATGTCCAAAAAACTTAAATCATTCAAAATGATCTCCCCAAAAAAAAAAAAACTTTTAAATGCATGTTTTTGGAAATTTTTTGGAATAAATTACTGATTTGAATAAGATTTGAACTAATATGAAATGGTGAGACTCGAATCAAAGAACTTTAAAATTGAGAAAACCCCAATTATTTTGATCGTCAAATTCCAAAAAAATGGGGATTCTATTTAAAAAATAAAGCTACAAATTCGGTAGATCTATAAAAAACAACCAGATCAGAGAAATTTTAGTACTCAAGTGGCCCATATATGGGAAAAATCAAATTTTTACCATTTCATGCTAAAAATTCAAAAATCAAGAATCACATGCACAAAATTGCTTGGTTCACTACAATGAACTGGGAGATCCATGTTAAATAAGGTCGAATTTCTTATACATAAAGCTAGGGATTCAGATCCAAATCAACAAATTTTTAACAAGAATGTATATTATGATACCATTTACCTTTCTTACAAGGAAACAGTTTATATAAGGATGCTACCTTATAATGTAGAACTACATATGCCCCTAAAAAATCCATCGGAACAGGTAGTTTTAATGTTGAAAGACCCTTGGATTGATCATCTCGACATCGAGATGTATCACTATGAAAAATAAAAAGATTTAAAGTCTCAGAAATAATGCATTTTTACAACATATTATCTACACTGTCCATTTTCAAGATTTTCATATGTTTATAGATCCGCTTGATTTTAACCATTTTTTAAATTTAAAATTTTATAATTAGATATAAAAATAGATTTTGAGATAATCCTAATATTTTACATCAAAATTATATACCATGATAAAATTTAAAGGGCACCTTACCTCTACACTTACGGAGGTGTCCGTATGCAAACTACACCCTTCTTACAAAGATGTCACAATTATTGTAGCCATTAGATGTCAAATTAGATGGCTTAGGGTGCATCATAAAATTCGAAAAATTCATTCTTTAACTTTGAATCTAATCAATAATACTCTTACAACCACTCGATTTGAAATCTGACAGATAAGAGTGATTATGGCCTCCTTATATCAAAGGTAAATGGTCTATTTGTATACTTTTTCTTTTTTTTAACACCAAGTCAGCCCTTTATTAAAGGGTGCAATTTATATCAAGGGTAAACCTTAAACAATCCAAGTAAGGTGTGCCTCTAAATTTAGTCAAAAGATGTAATTTTGGTGTCGAAAAGTTTCAATGATGATCTGAAAATCTATTTCACATGTAATTGTGAAACTTAAAACTCAAAAAGTGGTGCAGATCAAGCAGATTTGCAAATATTGAAAATGGACGGTATAGATAAAGTTTTACAAGATATACTATTTATTTGAGCTAAAACTCTTCTTATTTCGCAACAATACATCTTGATATCGAGATGGTCAATTAGAGGGTTTTTAACGTGAGAAGAACCTTTTTCCGATGGACTTTTACAAATACAGGTACATACCTTATATAAATTTTTTCCTTTGTTAAATCTCATAATCGAAACTTTCAAAGAAATGGAATCTGCACTAAAACTACATACCCTAGCATAATTACAAATTTAGGTCTCCCAGTCATATAGCCTTTTTTTTTCCCTTATACTCCAATGCTAGGAGTTTTCCTTGTTTACAAAGAAATTAATTTTCAAATAATATAAAGAGTAGTATCTTCGTTGTATATTTTTAGGACTTAAAACTCTTTTTTTTTCATAGCCATATCTCAAGATGATCAATTAGAGGGTTTTTAAGATGAAAACAACCTTTTTCGATGGAGTTTTGAGACATACCGTACTTCTACTGCATAAGGTAGCCACCTTATGTAAACTTTGCCCTTTATTAAATCTTAAGATTCGAAAAATGGAATCTCCACTAAAACTACAAACCTTAGCATGATTATAAATTGGAAAAAAATTGTATAAAAATGAGGCTCTAAACAATCAAATTAAGGCGCACCTCAAAAATTCATTTGCTTCAATCCAATTATCTCAACCTCAAGATGTATGGATATAAGAAAAAATAAATTTCAAGTTTTGAAAATAGTGCATCTTGTAATGTATTATCTAGACCATCAATTTTTAAGATTTTTAAGTGTTCATAGATCTGTTCGATTTATACTATTTTTTAATCTTTAATTTTTATAATTAGATATAAAAAAAATTCAGTATATCACAAAGATTTTCAGCATTAAAATATCTTTCGACACTACGTGCGCCTTACATTAATGGTTTAGGACCCCAGTTTTATACAAACCACACCCTTATAAATTTAGGTCTCACAATCATTTAGCCTTTTTTTTTTTTCCTTATATTCCAAAGCTAGGAGTTTTCCTTGTTTACAAAGGAAGGAATTTTCAAATAATATAAAAAGGAGCATCTCCGTTGTCTTTGGATCTGCTAGCATGATAATATTATTTTATTTATTTTATTTTTTGGCTTATTTTATTTTATTTTTATTTTTCACGTGGTTCCCTCCTATGGATGGACATGTAAAAAGTAGAGAGAAGTTCATTTCTCGTGTTTTATTATTTTATTAGAAAATAAATGACGAAAATACCTCATTCCCATAAAGTCTTGACCAAAGCTCGATCCACTATTCGTGTAGGTCAAGAAAAGGTCTTCCAAATGAGTAAGATTGCACTAAAAATAAGCACAGTGCAACTTACCAAATAATCTCTCGTTGGGCTAAAATAAAGGCATGTGAGGGCATCTCACTATATATAGGGAAAAGTTTATATTGAGCTGAGGCTAAAGTTTATATTGAGCTGAGGCTATAAACAATTAAATAAGAGCCTATCTCAAAATTTTCACTAGAAAATGTTGTGTTGATGATTAAATATTCTTAAATTGATCATCTCGACATCAATATGCATGGACATGAGAAAAAAATAGATTTCAAGTTGTGGAAATAGAATAGTTTTTAACATATTTTTGGACC